TACTGACTTGATGGCACCTAACAACAATACCCATTGTAATAGGCTTTCACCTCTCACAGCTCCTACCTCCAAATCTGGATAATTCTGCTTCTTAGAAAGAGCAGTATAGATTGACCACGTTGTGATTGTTAAGTGCCGTTGAGTTGGTTCCAACTCATAACAACCCTGTATAGGGTTTCCAAGGAGTGGAGGATGGGTTTGAACTATGGGTCTTGCAGTTCCTACAACGACATGATATAGAAGAAAAATGCTTTCATAGAAGGAGAGGAAGTGATAGCTAGTTATGGTAAGCAATAGTAAAATTATAGGTCAACAAAGTCCCTTTGTAAATGTTTTCCTAGTGCAGAGTATAGGCCTCAAGGAAGAATCTACCACACTCACCTTTGCTAGCTGGAATGATGGCTTAGTTAGGGTGCCTAGCTGTCTTCCCACTGGGCAGGGTAGGAAAATATTGCAGAAGTGTTTGTTGTCCTGTCTTGGCTGGGTCCTTTCTTGAACAGAATCCTAGAACTGTAGAGACCAAAATTATTTTAGAAATTAGAAATTAGGTTAGTCCAAGAAAGATAAATTTATCTAAGATCTTCCCCCCAAACCAGTTAGTTCCAACTCATGATGATCCTATGTGTTTGAGTAGGATGTACTCTATAGGGTCTTCAATGACTGAATTTTCAGAAGTAGATCACTAGGACTTTCTTTTGAGGCACCTCTGTATAGATTAGACCCTCCAGCTTTTTAGTTAGTGGTCATGTGTTAACCATATGCACTACCAAGGGATTATCTAAGCCCAAATGTCTAACAGATAAAAGGACTGGAGCCCTATCTAAGGATCTCCATTTTCTTCTAATTCCATTTGCTGCTTTGGAAGAATTTATGATTTCGCTGATGTTTTCTAGCTTTATATTACTGTTTTTAATAGAAGTAGAACTATATGTACAGAGGATAAAGTATTTAGTGGTTCAGTCATTAAAATCATATTTATATCCCATATTCTGAATGTATGTTTTACATAACAGAAAAGAACCAAATTTACTAAAATTTTAAAATATGTTTCTTTTAAGTGTTAAGCTATTCTGAAAATAGCTTCATCATCTTGAATAAAAATGCATCCAAGTATGTTATGAACCTTCACTCTTACCAGGCATAGTGTGAATGTGACAATACCAAAATAAACAAACAGATAAATCAATTACAGCTCTTGTCCTCAAAGATTTGCCAGTGAGTGGGGGAAGCTGACATAAAACCACCAAGTGTGATACTGCACAGTACCTCCTAGGATAGACAGCACAGGATATGCAATCCCTGCGGTAGCACTCAACTGTTGAGTTAGAAAGAGAACGCTTGCCAGAACAGTTAGCATGAGAACTAAATCTTGAGAAAGAGGATTAAGAGAAAAGGCATTAAAAGGGGAGAGAACAGCATGTGTTAGACAGGCAGAAAAGCACATGCCAGATTAGGGAACAAGTGATTCTATAGGACTGCATCTGAGCATTCAGTGAGAGCCAGGGCAGGCAGGACTAGATCAGAAAAAGCTTTGTACATCAGACGAAAATGTTTGAAATTTACCCAAGAAGTATTGGGAAGGTGCTGAAAGATTATATGGTTTAAAACTATGTGACTTAGACTATTTATTGGTTGTGAAGTGCCATCAAGTTGGTCTCAACTCCTAGCGACCCTGTATAGGGTTCCCAAGGAGTGGCTGGTGAGTTTGAACCACTGACCTTGTGGTTCAAACCAACCTTGCGGTTGAATGCTTATTCTATATAGCCACACCAGGACTCTAGCTCAAAGTATACAACAGTATAAAAGTTCCGTTTATTTTGTTTGTTCATTTTGTTTATTTATGCTTTTTGATACTGGAATTCTTGCCCTGATATCTGGCAACGTAGGCAGTGAGAAAATCACTAGACTCTAGTTTCTCTTGTTGTGAAGTGCCATCAAGTCAGTTTCCGACTCGACTCATAGCAACCCTGTATAGTGTTTCCAAGGAGCACCTGGTGGTTTGAACACCCAACCTTGTGGTTCGCAGCCTGGTACTGATCCTACAGTGCCACACTAAGAGTCTGTTTCACTTGTATGCTGACAAAAATCTCATTTCATTATCTGTGAAATGCAGATTATTCTAGGGTGATTGTACTTCTTCCTATGTGAGTTAAGGTTAAGCATTTGTTACGGTGTCTGACATATGATAAATATTCAATAAATATAAACCGGTATCATTATCATGATTATCATTATTATAAAAGTCTTAATTGGAAAGGTGGATTTGAATGCTAGGGTTAGTTTTAGCATCTAGAATTAAGAGCAATTTTTTGGTTCTGCTTAAAGTAATTGAGTTCCTTCAGAGATAACTATTTTGTCAGAGAACTATTTTATTGTGACTAGGAAAAGGCATGGTTACAAAAACACATGGATTATGTACTTGAGAGAAAATCTGCTAGTTTTGGTTGTCTAAGAGAGCATTGTTGTTGTTGCTAAGTACCATAGAATTGGTTCCGACTCACAGCAACCCTGCTTATTGGGTTTCCAAGGAGTGGCCAGTAGGTTTGAACTACCAAAAGTAGTCCAGTGCTTATTCTAAAGTGCCACAGAAACGAAGATTGTGGTTTCAGTGGTTATAGTACTAGTACCCTGAGAATAGCTAGAGGATTGATTTGTTGATTAGAGGTGAACCAGGAGACTATCAAGTTCCATAGAAATTGAGGATGCACATTAACAGTTTTCTTGCCTTGCTATTGACTGACAGGCCTTCTGAAACACCATTGTGCTTTTAATTTATTGTTAGATTATAGCTAGTTATTTATAAAAGTCTTTATACTCTAATGACTGCAGATTTTTTTGCATCTTTATAATTAGGCCATTTTCAATAGTTGTACCCATTTGAAAATTTGAAATCTAGTTTTGCAGTTTCAATTTGATTGTATTAAAAAGTGGTGGTTCTATGCCGTGGAGTTGGTTCTGACTCATAGCGACCCTGTACAGGGTTTCCGAGGCTATAAATCTTTATGGGAGCAGAAACCCTCATCGTTCTCCCATGGAACAACTGGCTGGTAGTTTCAAACTGCTGACTTTACGGTTTGCAGCCCGATTCATAACCAGTACACTACCAGAGTAGGTAGGTCAAAATTAGAATTACTATCTGCCTGATGCTGTATCTAAAAAAAAAAAAAAAAGTAGACTCTATTTCAATATTCTGTACAATAATAGGTTTACTTTCTCTGTTCAATTTTGCTAGTGCTCCTATATTCCTCCCTGTGAGAGAGAAAATCAGAAGAACTTGGAAAGTGTCATGACTTGGCAACAGTACTGGAAAGAGGAGATTGGTTCCCAGCCATTTACTTGCTATTTTAACCAATATCAAAGGTAAGTCAATATTTACATGTGCATATTAACATTGTTTATAGGCACCTTTTCAAAAAACGACACCAACCATCTCTACTCAGCTAGGTTTGATAATTCACTGCAATGGCCATCCAGAACCCAGACACCATACTCACAGTTATGGGCCTTACTGGGGAAGTTAACGGGTGACACCTCAGGGTTAGAAATGCTTAGGGCACAGTTCTTCCAGTCAGGACAGACATGCCCACAGGCAGGCCTCTCTCTGCCCAGGCAATGTTACAAAGCTCTTCTAGGGCTGATGGGAACACTCACAGGGCACACCACCTAGTCAAAAGCCTCAGCCTGAAAGCACTCCACTCTAGCTCCATGGGTAAGCAAACCTAACCCCGACCCAAATAGATGTCCAGAGGTACCCTAATCTGCAAACAAGCCTCCTGCTCAAAGTCACTCAGCATTACTTGCTCCGTGGGCTGGGACGCTCACCACTCTTTTTCCTGCTCTGGTTCTTGGTACTGCTGCTAATCCTCTGGTTTCCCAGTGTTCTGTCCCTGGGTCTAGGCGGTTCAATGCACAGAGATCTCATGGTCCAAAGGATGCGTTCCACTCCCAGATCTTCTTGTTTGATGGGAATGAGATCCCCTTTCCTGCTTCTGAGACAGCTTATTTTATACTCACATTAGAGTTCCAAGTTTTTACAATCACAATCGACTCTGTTAACCACTCACAACTGAATCATATCATCCTATCAGCATCTTCTCCTGCCTTCTCTTACCCACACGTAGCTGGGAGAAAATGTTGTTTGGTGGGCATTACCAAGACTATGGGTAGAAGAGCCATAAAAGTAATTTACTGCAGTGTACTCTGTAACTTATGACACTAATAAATCAAAGACTGTGCCGACTTGACAATAATGGCAACATGGACCTAGTCTCAACACTTTCTTGTATGTAGCTAACATGTTCCTACTTGCTTTAGCGGATAGAGAGGCATAAAAATAATCTGCAGAGAGGAATACACCAAGAAATGATGATGCCTTTATTTTAGGTAGGCGCATTGCATATTGATAATGCTCTCTGAGAATTACAGATTTATGCACATAAGATAAACAATGTGTAGACAGGTCAGCATTTGGATGACATCAAGTTTAAGCTTTCCTTTCTTTTTTTGATGAACTATCAGTGAACTGATATGACATTGAAACTTTATTTGACGTATCATAAAGGTACCAGAAGTCCTGGTGTAGTACTGTGGATTAATCCATTTCACTGCAAGGTCATCACTCACCTAATCCTGTATAATGAATCACACCAAATGAGTTCAAGCTCACCAGCCACTCCTTGGAAACCTTATAAAAGGTCGCTATGAGT